CAGATAAATTTTGTAAGACTCAGCAAGCACAAATTGCCGCATACTGGGGCATATCTTGTAGATGAATTCTCGTGCATGTTTTACGATTGAAAGTATTGCCCGAAATCCCCTGCACCTATGTGACATTAGAAATATTTGCCACAACTTCAAATATTGATTTATATGTATGTGTTCATGTGATGTTTGAAATCATTTCGTCATTTTTAACAGAAATATTTACAGATTTTTTCTAGTTCTCTGTACTTGATCTGGTTGTATTTTCAAATTTTCAGTAGTGTACCTCTTTTTTGTTAAGAAGAAAGCATATTCATAAATGTGCCTTAATAAACAATCCATTTCACTATTTCAGTGTAATTTATTTTAAGAAAACAAGGAAAAACATAGACGCTTTCAATACTATGTATATTAATGTGTGTTAATAAATTGGATACATACTTTGGTCCTTAATCCAACAATGTTTGTCGCTCATTAAGACAGTTAATTCTACATAATGCATGCGCTATACATTAACAGATATCGCAGCATAGCAGGGTTCGGTGATAGCCCATCCACCTTCATAGTGTTCTGGTGCTCCGGGTATGAAAGCTGAAGAAGATTTTGGCTTCGTACTTGCGTTGTCATTACCTTATACACACAGAGTTCTCAGCTACGTACCAGTGAAACGCATTCCCTCTTGTGAAATGGTAGCACACAGTACGAAACAGTGGAAATCTTCTTAATGAGGAAGGTGTATGAAACGACCTACTTTAGTCAAGTGTGTTTTCAAAGGATCAAGTTGCACGTAGGTTCTGTAGTGGAATATTAAGTTTATCGCCCAACTATTTCCGAAGTTGTTGATTACGACGCTTGTTTTGGATGTGTTTTGCGTACAATTATCATGGCTATGTCACGCCGCTGGTGGAATGAATATTGAGGAAGTAAGTTTGCTCTCGTTATTACAGTAACACGAGTGCCTGCGGATATAGTCCTGAGTGTTGGTGGTTACGGCTGTAGTAGGAACTCTATGTAGTGTCTGGAAAGGGTAGCTAGTCACATAGCCTACACCAGAGAATTGGTTACAAAAGGAAATTTCTCTTATCGCAGTAAAGGAGAGTACCGGAAACCCACGATATCCACAATAAGAGACATACTGATTTATTCTTTGGGTTTTGCTCGTTCGATCATTTTATGTAACTTTTTCACATTTATGAATTATTATGGATACTGATTAATTATAACAGTGTCATAGTTAACTTCTCGTTTACTTATATCTTTTCAATTTATTCAATGACACTTTATCAGCTGCATAATTACGAAGAATCTAGAAGGATAATTATGATTGATAATTTCAGAAGGTTGAGAAACGAAGCGATATGGTTTGTTGTAAGATAATGCTCCGACATTTGCTAGGAGGTGCTGAGGAAACCAACGAAATCGATAGCTCCTGGGCCCAGAAATTCCTGAATATGACCGAGAATGACACAGACTAACAGCGTGTTCGGCATATAGTTGATTAGTTGGCTTTAATTAAAGACTTGAGAGGTTTAAATTATCTTGAATGTAATATAATCTGGAATGTAACAGAAATTATGTTTGTATTACTTTTTTAAAGCATTCTTTTTATATGTAAATTATATATTAACTTTTATGACTACCTATATATACGCAATTGGAACTACGGGATACACTGAAAGCTACTGTTTCCGGTTTACAATTTTCCGTACTGTGTAAACGTAACACGGACATAAATAACATAAAACAAAGATTGCTGTTTTCTTATTGTGTCACCATGTAGACTGATAGATGTTGCCCTGATGATGGAGGCAACTAGGACCTCTGAAACGCTGGTAAACTTCTATCAGTTTACATGGCGCTACAACCCAGAAGAAAGCCATCTTTGTGCTCACGGCGGTAAAAACCTCAAATTTACCATAGATATATATTTATGCTATAAACAGAGATCTTATACATGTGTTGAAGACCGCGTGACTCACCGGAATGTTGTTAAGGAAGAAGCTGAGACTGGCTGCCGGTTTGGAGGGTGGCGAAGTGCAATTTGCACGCAGAGTGTCTCCTGGTTCATAGCGGTCGTGTTCCGTGTGGATTACAGGAGGGCTTTCCGGCAGCGCTGTAACACAAACACCATGCATGACACCGTGATGACCACACAACAAGCACTCTCTGGGGACGCAACCCATTGATGCAGAGAAATCTAATGAGCGGTAACCAAGGCCCGGAACCAAGCCTGATACACTGAAATTACTGCCATGGGCCCCCTCCGTACATGTTTACATCGAACTTTGTAGAAGACAGACAGGGAATTTCCCTGTGTGTGTTCTTACCGGTTATGACTGACACACCTATTAAAGATTCTGCTAGCTTAGACGCAGAAATAAGATACTATGTTTTGTAAAAATTTAAAGTCAGTAGTTATGAATGAATCAGTCGGTGATTAAGAATATTTCTTTAGTTTCGAATCTCACGCGTTCGTTATATGTTTAAATTTTCAATTACAGAGAGATAAAGTGAGAGGAAGCTGGGAGAAATTAAATAAAATCATAAATTTTTATTGTTTACCAAATTTTGCTATTTTGAGATGGCGTGGCATGTTGCAGGCTTTGGGGGTGCGATGATAAATACGTACAAAATGTTGGCTGGTATGCCTGAAGAGAAACAGAGTTCGGCTTTCCAGGGTATACATGGGAAGAAAATATTGAAATGGTTCTTTGAGAAATAGTGTGATAGGGCATGGACTGGATTCAGCTTGCTCAGGATAGGAAGAGGAGTCCGACTCTTGTAAACACATTAATGAATATTCGCATTTATAAGAAGATGGAAATATTTTGACCAGAGTAGCGTGTTATGAGCTTCCCAAGGACTCTGCACTACGGAGTTAGTTATTTGTTCCTCATTCTCGTTACGTGAAATTTGAGTGTAAAGTGAGTGACATTTGTGTCCTTTGTTTCCATAACTTTCCCCTGCTTTTTCAATTTAATTTATATTCAACAAGATATAGCCTACGTAAACATAAGTTAACCCTTCAGGTAAAGTGACAACCCTAATTACATTACTTTAATTAAAACATTGATACAGGTGCTGAATAAAAAATTGCCTGAATCCACTTAGATATATTGTATGTGGTTATTTGAAGACGCTCAGATTATGTAGCGTCAAATAATAGGATGACCTGTAAATAATATATTGCAAATGATGTGGAAAGAATTGATCCTGGTCTAATTTAAGGTTTGTCCCAGCATTTACTTATAGTGGCTAAGTTAATGTACGTAAAGCCTCAGTCACAATAGTCGGTCTGGAATCCTACAAGAATATAACTGATGGCCAATCAGAATTTGAGGAAGACGTGCTTACTAGCTGTGTTAATTAAGGTTAAATTTACAAATATTATTTGAAGACGTTATTGTATTTCAGAGTTTCAAAGCTAATAATTCGTTTCACCTTGGGTGATCCAAAATGTACTCGGCTTTTACAGACTTTCACCACATTCGTGAAGAAGTAAGTACCCTGATCATGATCTTATAAAACATTCTCGCCTGAAATGTCCCCAGCTGCTTCTGTATATCTCCTTAATGTTGCTTCCTTGGTTGAGGAAACCTGTCGTTTGATATTACCCAGGAGTCAAATTGTTGTTGACACGGCATGGCGTTAAGTCAGGTATGAATAAACAGTTGCTTTCAAGCGAGTTTATAGCAGGTTCCATCTGAGAGTGCGAGCACTGGATAGAATCCGATTACCGCTGTCACTCCGGCGGTAGTAACAAATAAGTGCACTTCGTTTCCAGGCCGACAGAGTTATGAGTAATGCCCGGCTCCTTTGAGTGGGATGCAACGAAACCCGCCTTTTTAATGAAAAATTCCTGATCCCAGATAGTGTAAGTCAACAAATGTGATATTAATTAACTCTAATAAATGTAGATGGGCGAAGCATGCAGCAAAAGAGATAAAATGTATAAAAAATGTCTGTCCGCAAACCCTTCGTTGTCGGGGGCTTATAGAGTCTGGATGTTCGTTTCCAGGAGTTTATTTCTGGAATTCATCTGAGGTCGCGCGTATGGGAGAGAAGAATAGTTTAATTATCTACTAGAGAAAGTGCGTAGGAAAGAGTAAAGAGGAAAGACAGCCGAGTATTATTGATGCTATGTTACAGTGCTGTGTACATACTTTGAATGAATTTCTCTGAGTTGTGATATGAATCATAAATAGATGTGGTTTGTGCTGTGAAATGTTGAAGTAAGTGGGTGTGTTAGGCGGAAAATAGTCTGGAAGGAAAACATGTTACCTTTCCCTTTGTATTGTGATATGAGGTGTACATGGGCATGACCAATCTCGCTCTATGCCTGAGGGAGGGGTGAACTCACGCCGAAGTGTGTCACATCTTGATTGATCGGATTCGAGTACGGAGAGACACAAATGAGGAATTACGGGATTTGTAGTAGAAAATGAGAACATTCTTCTTCTTTCAGTGTTGGAGTTGCCATTGGAGACACCAGAAAATGTTCCAGTTTTGTTTCAATTGTTCGTCATAATCCCATGATTATCGAAATTTAAAAAAAAACATTTTACGTTAAGAGGGAGAGTTAGCCTTTAGGTTTGGCAGACAGTTTTACTTTTAACAGCTCACTTACGAAATGATTACATTTTTTCGCCGTTGATTTAGAAGGTTTAATTGCTTTGTTATTAGCAAACGGAGCTCTAATATTTTAATTATGAATGGGGTTAATTACCAAGAGTTCAAGGCTTCTTTATAAATGGAAATTGAAATAACTTGGTAGCATAAATCATGCTCAGTTCAGTGTATGCGCACGCTGTTAAATTGTAAATAATTTAAATAATTTTTAGTTTTGGATAAAGTTCTGGATACAGATGTTTTTTAATCCTGAGACTTTGTATTAATTTTCGAGACACGGATTCGGGTCATTTCTTGCTCGTCGTGATGAGCGAAGCCAGAAGAGAAATTTGAATTTTGAAAGTGTGATTAACGCATACATAATCTTTCCACTATTAATATATTTCAAGTTCTTGAAGTAGGCATTTTATTAATGATTTAACAAAAGATTGATATCGCTTTGCGACATAGTATTAAAAGACGTATGCCCATAATTAAAAATCAGCTCGTCATTGTTTACTTATTCTGTACAGCCTCACGTATTATATAGACTTAAAGTCCAGAAAGGCAGATCTTATTTTGGCGTCTTCAGTGGTCCATGTGGGGGAACAGAAATCGAATGAATGCAGAGATGGGATTTATGTGAAGGACAGAAAGTTATAGCCTGAAGGATTTGAGATATTCAGATAAGTTCGTAGAGAAAGGCAAGAAATACTGCGTGGACTGAAGAATAAGGTAAGAAATATGACTAGAAGGAAATTGCCAAAGAACAACCGGAAAGGGGGGAGGGAGGTGAAAGGAATTGCCTATGAGCTCAAGCAGCATACGTCATATTCTGTGAACTGAGGAAAGAACTTGTGGAGTAGAGTCATTGACTTGAAGTTTATTCTACTGTGTCTTATGAAAACTATCGGATATCGTACCTTACCACACACTCATAGGACCTGGCCCAACGCGACTGGGGTGGAATAAATGTTTGTTATTTTAACGTTATCTGTATAACGTGTACCATGCAACCGAAATTTGTGCATTCAGTACAGATGGTAATAATATTTAAACTTGCCTGTGGATTATGTGAGATTTCACGGCGATTGAATACAGTCGTGTCTTATCAGGCAATGAGTAGGTTTAAAATGAAGTTGTGATCCAACGTTTCGGAGACTGTTATCATCAACCCTGATGATCATTGCAGAAACAGTCTCCGGAACTTTGTTCTCACACGCATGATCGACCGATAAGACTTCATTAGCGAAAGATTGTATGCGCAACTTGCAGACCTATTGAACCGTAGGCCTATGTATAAATGCGACAAAACTAAGCTCTCATATTCCTTGTAGACAGACTGAAGGAACGTGTACTCCACCCTCTCTATCCGTCTGTCTTCTTGTATCCTCATGCGAACGTAAGTATTACATTTTCTTTGGGAATTATCCGATTTTTATGTTTCCTCAAACATTATGGCTTGGGCTCACAGACCTTTTCCAGACTTTGATATATTCTTCCGACCTGTCTTACGTGTAACTCGTGAGCTTTTTCCATTGCCGCCAACGCTGGGAAAGCCTGTAGTTCAGTGAATCTGACGCCGAGGCTATAATCGCTAAGCCTTCAGGCAAGCTTCCCCGTTTATACCCCATGGGGAGGGAGGAATACTGCTTCTAGTGGATATGCCAAACGGGAAAAGAATATTTTTGTATAAAGATTTTAAATTCTAAAAGTTGTAGGTATGTTTTCTAACGGACCATTCAGGACATTCATTAATCTTCCCCTTTATTGTATTCTATTTGAAGGAGAAGGGAGTGCTGGTCCACAAAACATCGAATTTCTTTTAGGGATTCATATTTTGAATCACGGGTGATGGATAATGTTAAAAGAAATTGCTCGGACATTGACGGTACCAAGTTGTCACCAAATAGTAGAAATATATAAACAGGCATTGCAGATACATACACTTGTTACAGACACAAATTGAAAATATTACATTAAGCTGTGTGTGCTCTTGAAGTCGTACAAACCTTGGATTTTTTCAAATAGCCTACCTGCCTTAACAATACTAACATGGCGGTCGAGAAAACTTGTAGCATGGTAACTTTATTTTCATTGAATGTATAGTTTTTAAATTTAGGTTATGGCATTACGTAAATCTCAATAATATATTACTTTTTTCAGATAATATAACACTTTATTTATTTCTGTGTTACTAGACGCCGATAATAGTAATTCAGGTGGGTTACAAGATAATTAATAAATACTGAACTGAGATACTGGGAACGACCCGTTCTTCAAGTGCCTGAGAACTGCGGGTCCCAACTTTTCATTGGCTCGATCTATAGACATTCGGTAGGACTCCTTGGACGAGTGATCGCCCCGTCACAAGGCCTCTACCTGTACACAGGACAGCGCAACACAGAAAAACGCGGACAAACATCCATGGCTTGAGTGGGATTCGAACCCACGGTCTCAGCGACCAAGCGGCACAAGGCCCACGCCTCAGACCGCGCGGCCTTA